AGCCTTCAGCTATCAGGCTCCTCTCCTGTGGAATCATCTTCCTGTTACGGTCCGGGAGGCAGACACCGTCTCCACATTTAAGACTAGACTCAAGACTTTCCTCTTTGATAAAGCTTATATTTAGGGCTGGCTCAGGCTTGCCCTGTACCAGCCCCTAGTTAGGCTGACTTAGGCCTAGTCTGCTAGAGGACCCCCCTATAATACACCGGGCACCTTCTCACCTTCTCTCTCTCTCTCCCTCTCTCTCTCTCTCTCTCTCTCTCTCTCTCTCTCTCTCTCTCTCTCTCTCTCTCCCCCTCTCTCCTGGATGGTGTGTGTGGTTGTGCTGCTGCTGTGGTCAGATGCCAGATGCCTCCTGCTGCTGCTGTTAGTCATACTTCTACTGTTATTATACACATATGATTATTGTCACATATGTATACTATCAGATATTAATATATACTTTCAACATATTTTACCACAATAGCTGTAATTATTATTATAGTATTATTACTTTCATTAATGTTGTTGTAAGCTACTGTCATTACCGTCTGTCCTGCATCTCTCTCTGTCTCTGTCTCTTTTTCTGTTGTGGTCCTGATTTTCTGTGCAATTGTGTTTGTTCCTATCTGATCCTTCTCTCCCTGTCCCTGCAGAGTGAGTGCCGAGGGGCGGGGCGATCTCCGGGAGCACTGGGCTCCCGGCACACCTGCAGCTCGTTCTGCCTAATTAGCCGGCTTCTTAAGCCACACTCTCTTTGTCTCCAGTGCTGGATTATTCTCTTTGCTCTAGTATTACGCTCGTGCTCTCAGTGATCTCCTGCCTCCCGCCACGTGTTTATGCTCCGGTGTTTGGTCTCCAGGTTTAGTAAGTTTTTGTGCCTTGTCACTCTTTTTGTTGCACTTTTGTTCTTGCTCTTTTTCCCATGTTGATGGTGATTTTCAGTTTAGCCTTTTCTTTTTTGCTACTTTGTAAACTGTTTTTTGAACTTAACTCTGCAACTGGGTCCTGGCTTCCTTGTCTGGCACGTAACATTTTCTGTCTCATTGTGTCATACAGATTAATTTATTATGTTGATCTGTTCTGTACGACATCTATTGCACATCTGTCCGTCCTGGAAGAGGGATTCCTCCTCAGTTGCTCTTCCTGAGGTTTCTACCATTTTTTTTCCCCATTAAAGGTTTTTTTGGGGAGTTTTTCCTTATCCGCTGCGAGGGTCCAAAGGACAGAGGTATGTTGTATGCTGTAAAGCCCTGTGAGGCAAATTGTGATTTGTGATATTGGGCTTTATAAATAAAATTGATTGATTGAAAAGTTTACGACGCTGTGAGAGTGGCAAGAGTGAGAATAAAAGTTGTGGGCTGGATAGCAAGATGAGTTAAAATTCACTATAATGCATTTACACATCCCTCCAGGGATTACCTTGGGATTCCCCAGTAAGAGCTGGAGGATGTGGTTGGATGTCTGAGAAAGACACCTGGGCCACCACAGTCTGCTCAGTTACTCACTCATATTTAAGTACTAAATCTCACATTAGCTTGTGATGTTTGCCTCTGCACCCTCAGTCTTCTCGCTAACAGGGATTACCACTGATGTCAATCAAGGCTGAGAACTGTGTGCTAAGTGCTTCCCGGGCACGGCCACTAATACATTATTTTGTAAGTGTAACTGTAACATCAAGTGTAAAAGCCTATTTTCAGCCATTCTTCTATGAAATGTGTCCATGCTTTACTGTTCTTAATGTGAACTCACTAAGCAGAACATGAGCAGCACTTACAGTCATCCTATCACTACATTAAAAAAGCAATTAGCGGTCATGAACTTACTGTGTCCTTCCATTGGAGAGCACTCACTGTCTATTTCACTTAGTGGGAATCCTTAGCTCAGAGTTATTTCTTTATAAAGCCACCCATTAGGTGGGTGTGGGAATTCTTCTGCCATGAGGAATCCTGTTACCCAGGAATACCATTAAGCTTGTCTCCAGCTCATTCATGCACGTAGAACCATGGGGAGATTCCATGGTAAAATACAGGCTGTTTTTATTGGCTGCTGCTGAGCAAACAGGAGGAGGTGAACATGCGGTTTCCTTGGCTTCATGTCACCAAACTGATACTAAGCAGAGTGGAGTACTGTAAATTTTAGATTTATCCTGACCTCCTAGATATCTTACTCCTTTAACTCATGTCTTTGTCACTCATTACAGGAGCTCTCGTAATGACCTGGATTAATGAGTCAGAGTAAGAATAATGGACTCAGTCATAGTAATGTGATTCACCACCTTAATTTCCCACAGACACTTGTCAAGCACAGTGGAGTTAATATGTTAAAACATTTGTAGAACATTATTCTGATGACGTAAGTGTGAGTGCAGCTGATAGACTCAATAATGATAATAAGATAAAAAGCACAGTGAAGTCTGTCATGTGTTTAAACAATAATATTGTCACATGCTGCTCATCAAGCTTTGTTTCCTGAGGGTCTTTTTAACTAAACATAACGTCCAGCCTGTTCTCAAATTGTCACAGTCCCTGTCTCTCATTCCCCTCCTGTCACTCTGCTGCAGTGATTTTCCACTCTACCTGCCAGCCACGCCCACCTTATCAGCCCAACTCTGCTCACTTGCCTACACAGCTGCAGCTCATCATAATCAGCCCTGCATATAAGCTTCTCCAGCACTCTCACTCGTTGCCAGATTGTTCTTCAGCGTCATGCGAGACTTTCCAGCATTCATCTCCTGTCTGATCTCCCAGTGCCGACTCTGCCTGTTCCCGACCTGCTCTCCTTGTCTGCCTCCCGGTAAACTCACCTGCCTTCTGTCCCTGACCTCGTGCTCTGCCTCAGCGTTTCTGGTATCTGACTGCTCGGCTGGTAACGACTCCTCCGCCTGGCCTCGTCTATCCTCCTGCCTGCTCCCCATCGGTGCCTCTGCCTTCACGGACTGCTCATCTGGCTACGACCATGGGATATGACCATGTTTGCATGTTCTCCCCGCGTCAGTGTGGACTTTCTCTGGTTTCTTCTGCTTCCTTCAACAGCCCAAAGACAGGTCAGGTTACCGGCGACCTCTGACTGCCAACTCAGGGTGTACCCCGCCTCCTGTCCAATGTCAGCTGGGAAAGGCTCAGTGTTATGTTTATGAATACATTACACTGACACATAATACAATGGAAACCTGACAGTTATCACACCTGTCTGGGCCAAATTAGTCACCATAAGCAGAGGATTATTATGACCACATTGTTTTCTGATGCAGATTACCACCTCATTTAGAGTTGTATAATACATGGAATTTAAAGTAATGAAAAAGACAGTTTTGCTTTTTACAGAGTTTTTTCTTGACTGTTGCCTGCTGCTGGGGCGTCACGTGAGCAGGCATTGTCAATCCTCTGATGAGGGCGGCTTCAAGGCGCTTCCCCCATGCGCATTTGTCTTGTCTCCACCACTATGTATCTCTACATTGTGCAGTATAATCCTTTGTTTCCATATTGACAAGAGAAAAAAAAAACAGATTTGAGAGTTTAATCTTGTAATATTACAGTTTGTCTTCTTGTGAATTTATGAATTTAATATTGTGACATTATGACTTTTCACCCCACTCCTCCGTCATAGTTTCCGCTTTCAGTACTGTGCTTGAAATAAAAATACAATTTAAAAAAATAATAAAATAAAAACAGGGGAAACGATATTTTCTGAAAGTAAAGTCACACTTCGGCTGTGTTCAGTCTTGCAGCCATTTTTATTCAATGTGTCAAACTCATGATCATCATTTGGCGCATTGTTTTAAAGGCTTACACATCCTGAAGTTTGCCATGTCAGAGTTTTCCCAAATGTGTCTCTAAGTGTCTGATTTCCCAGGAAAACGGTGAGAAGTGTGTGTGTGTGTGTGTGTGTGTGTGTGTGTGTGTGTGTGTGTGTGTGTGTGTGTGTGTGTGTGTGTGTTTGTGTGTGTGTGTGTTTGGGACACTTTCAGTTCATCCTTGTCCAGGAAATGTGTGGGTGCAGTGTCTCTTCTGTCCCAGTTCCATGAGGGGCTTTCACACTGCTACGCAGTCATTTAAATGAGGAGAAGAGGACTTTGCTCTGTCGTGCTGAGCTCACTGTGTTGAACTTCTGGCGGTTGCCACCGTACCCAAAGGCCTGCCCGAATGATTTAATGGGCATCACGCAAACACAAAGCAGACAAGACGAAGGAGCTGATAATGTCGGTGTATGAATATCTGGAGTCACGGCGCCAACAACTTTCAAGGACAACCAGAAGAAAGATTGGGCCTGGGGTAACATTTGCACTAAACTTCATTTTCCACATTTTACGACGCGCACAAAGATAAAGAATCAATTTTTCCATTCCATGCAGGGTACAGTGACACCCGTGGGACTGTATATGCAGATTATGTAGTCATGGCAGTGATGTCAACGTGGTGATGACAGGGCAACAAACATGTGGTATCTTGTTCTTGTGAGTGTGCCTCACATCATGCTGTGTTACAAGCGCTCTGCAACAAAGTCTACTAAGATGATAATATTTATTTCCTCTCAGCAACAGCAGAGCAGACAAGCCAACCTCGTCTGGTGCCTCACTACACCACAGTTGGCACATCAGAGTCTTTGTAAATACACCTGACACTTTTTTAAATCTGCTCAGTACAAAGGATTAAAACACAAGTACAGTCCCTCAACAGCAGCAGTTTGGGTTCATGTCATTTTTGGCACGCACACAAATGCTGAAGCACGGAGAGAGATTTCTAAGAATTTAGAGGCTTCCAGTTAAGGCACACCAGTGTGTGTGTGTGTGTGTGTGTGTGTTTACATGCTTGTGTGAGGGAGAGGAAGAAGGAAAAAATGGGAGAAGGCAAACGAAAGGAGGCAGTGTGTGTGTGTGTGTGGGTGTGGGTGTGGGTGTGCGTCTAAATGAATGAACGTATCATTATGTGTGTGCATGTCTGAGGGAAATTTCCTTTTCTAGCTGTCATGATGCTGCTCACCCACTGAGCAGCGATGAGCAGAGGAGATATAAAACCACGCAGGGGAGGAGATGAAGACAGAAGAAGACAGAGTCTGACTTGATCCCCTTCGGCTGTCAGCGTGCACTCACACAAGGTAAGTCAGCCGTCTCATTTTTTACTCCTGCAGGTTTATTTGAAACTTTATTAAACTGTAAAACTACTGAAGGTATTTTATAGTTTTTGGGGAACTTACAGATTTATGAGAAGACAACCAGCTGTGCATCTTGCCAGCTGTGTATCAATGCATTTTTCTTTCACAATTTCTTAATCACTTCATCAGCTGCTGGACATTAGATGATTTTGCAACCTTTCACATAGTGGCAGCATTTTAAAATCATTCATAACGGCACCAAGATGAAATCATTTTTTATACTTGCTGTACTTTATTTTATATTTCATTGAATTTTATGAGAGACCTTTGCATCCATTTTATTCAGATGGTCAAAAAGAGAGGATGTTGGAATTTTCAGAAAAATGTCTCCGCTTTACAGATGCAAATATTTACATCGGCATTATCTCTAAACAACCAAACCTGTTTCGACGGTACACAGTGTAAATCTGTGTTATGCCCGAGTTATTTACATTCTGCTATAACAGTAGAAAACACACAGACAGACAGACAGTATGGGATGGGTTTGGGCTATTGATTTCCAGAGCTGCACTAATCAATATTGTAGCATCAACAGTGGATAAGATGTGTATGGGTCGCTCACAGTTACTCACTGAGAATGATCCAACTCTGCAGCTCTGCAGAGCTTGTTCAGTCTGGACTCCCTGAGAGATCAGATCTTGTATCTCAATGGGACCTCCCTGACTAAATAAAGGATAAATAAAAATAATTTTGAGCCTGATTCACAAACTCCTCTTATTAACCCACCAGTGTCTGCGGCATCACACCTGAGTGCTTCAGTCACATTATGGTCTTTCATTGTGGCATTTGTGGCATCAAACCTGCGTGGGTTTTTCTACCATCACTTGATGTCTTTGTGCTGATTCAGCCCCTGAACACTGGGTGTTTTTATCACCAACACGTCCCTACTTTTCCAGTGGCTTTTGTGCCATCAATCCTGAGTGTTTTAAGCTGAAACATGATCTCTTCCTGACCATAACTAAGTGGTGCTTTGTGTGAACCTAACAACACGGTAATCACATCATTGTTTGAAACCAAACCGGTATTTTCAGCAGTGTGTGTGGCACCGCACCTGAGTATTTCACATCATGGTGTTTCCCAGCAGCATTTGTGGCATCAAACCTGTTTTTTTTTTTTTTTGTTTTTTAACCAAACCTACTTGTCTTTAGGGGCATATTGCACCCCTGAACCTGTGTGTTTTTCACCGACACATTGCAGCATTTCCCAGCAGCATTTGTGGCATCTAACCTGGGTGTTTTTTTTTTTACCAAACCTTGGTGTCTTTAGGGGCACATTGTGCTGTTTAAGCCCCCAAACCTGGTTGTTCATCACCGACCCGTCCCTGCTTTTCGAGTGGCTTTTGTGCCATCAAACTTGCTGTTTTAAGCCAGAAAACAATCTTTTCCAAACCATAACCAAGTGGTTTTTGTGCCTAAACCTCACATCAAGATAATCACAGTGTTGTTGAAATATAAAAATCGTTAAGTGCCATAATAATGCACAAATGTAACATACCGGTGGTTTGCAAAAGTATACAATACAAACATTTTTGGGGGGGACTGAGCAGCCGTAGATCAAGATTAGTTAGACAACATAACAGAGCTTCAATATTAGTTTTACAGCCATCAGGTGGCCAGATGTGTGTGTCTAAGTGAATGCCATGTTGCCTCACATCTGCTGCATGTGTAACTAAGCAACTGCTTTCTAAAAAATATCCCTTAACCATCTCCTGTTGTGTTTCTTCATATCTAAAACTGAGATGCTGACTCTTTAAATTAAAGGGCCATTTATAGTTGCTGATGCCTTTAAGGGAAACTGTATGCAACAGCCAGAGTTGTGTAATGAGTGTCACACTGAACCTGCAGTTTTTCAGTCCTATCCGGAGAGGAACTTGTGATACAGAAGATACGATCCTTCTGTCCTGTGCAGATACTGTTTTAGAACATCATATTTTCCACTGCATGCTGATGCAAATTGCTGCTGTGTGCTTGGTAACGTTAAAAATAGGATGGAGTGAGAGTGAGCCAAAAATAATGTTGTGTGTTTGATCCAATGGTTGTGGTTATTCTTTTTCATTTTAATGTGGGTGTAGCACAAAGTTTATTACAGCTCAAAGCTGAAACCTTTGGAAACTGCAGAAGTAGGTCGAGGTCATCGTAGGTGAGACACTGATGCTCAAAGCTAAATTATTACATAGTTTGGCTCCAACACGCAATTGCCTCCTAATTCTAAGGAACAGTCCCATGAAAGACGTTTGGATCAGTGCTGAAACAATGAGTTGATACACTGGTCTGTTGACTGGCTGAGAATTAAATGACAATGACTTTGATATTTGATTAATGGTTAAGGTCAGTGATACTCAACTTGCTGCACAGCCATTTTCTTATTCACAGTGTAAATAAACTGATTCACACTGGAATGTTTTTCTGTCCTTTAAATGTAAATAAGGCTCCAGAGTGCACAAATTTAACCCTTTTTCTCCAAAAAAAGAGGGGAAAAAAAGCCAAGGCAGGATCTCCTCTGATAGAAGCCGCTTTTTTACTGCCTGTTTGAGAAGGGAATTTCATGCTGTTATGTCTCCTTGCAGTTCTGCATATAAGATACGATTGCAGGAAGAGAACAGTGTGGTCTCGTCTCTGAGCCGGGAATGTAGGCAGTAACAGCCAAGGTCTGTGTAAAATGTGAAGCTGGAGAGATGTGTTTTAATTACGCATTTTGATGGCAACCTACTGCCAGAGATTTAAAAAGCAGCTGTCAGCAGTTAGCAGCTAACTCAAAGGAGAAGAACAGTGGCCATAAATAAATGTCAGCAAAACGGAAAAACGATAAGATTCAGGAGCTACTTAATCTCCGAGCAGAGGACGAGATCAGCCGCCATATAACAGAAGATAACTGACATTATGCTATTGTTGGTGCATAGAAAGTGCTGCTGATGTGAAGACACTGTTGTGTTACATGTAACACCTGTCACAACTCTTTTGGTTGGAAATAATTTAGGGGTGCACGATAATTATCGGGCCGATAACAGGAAATTATTACGTCATTCCAATAAGTCTGATATCATGACGAATAGCCCCGATAACATATATAATTTTGGCAGCACGGCAGTGCCCCACTCCCACTATGAGACCCGAATGGCCTGCAGTGAATGCTGCGTTCAAGTGACGTCGGCATAATCAGAAAAACTCTTTCTGACTGGGAAAATTCAAGAATACCCCCTCATGTCGGAAAACAACTCGTTAACTCGGTCATAATTTCACACAGACACGCACACTCTCTCTGTCACTAGTGTTGCATGATATACTGGTACCAGTGGTAGACCGCGGCACTAAAACTCCACAGTACATATGATACCATAATGTTGGAGTACTGTAGTACTACGGTACCACTACTGTGGGATAAGTTCAAAGTCCAGTCGCAAGAGGGTGAGTGTCCATGCGCCGTCCAATAATGACAAATCCTGCCGGTTGTGGGTTGAACGGGGGTCACAGACACAGACAGGAATACGTATTCCTGTCAAATACGGCGGCCATAGTGCTCCGCGGTGCAACATAACGGCTTACCGGCGACGGATAAGTCCAGCTCCAGGTCCAATAATGTCCTCTTCTTGGCGTCATGACTGCCCAAAAGTACCTGGACAACCGAGCCGTGGCGGCACACAGGTATGTGACGTGTCAGAGGAGAAACGAGCCGTTCACATTTCTCTCTTTGTGGCAGGTAACGGTCCACAAACCTCACCGCACTTTAGGGACTGTTCTTCACTTATGAAGGGACTGTTCTTTACTTGTCAGGGGAGGAGGGTGGCTGGTTGATTTTTATTTTATTTATTTATTTTATTTTGATCCCCCCTATGTTAATCACTAATTGATGCTGTTTTTGAAGTATGAATAAGTCAGTAAGTAATTTATTCCATTGAAATATCAGTGATGTATTATAGAAAAGTGGTTTATCTTTTTATAAATGACAAAAGGCACATCTGCCTCATTTTTGCTGTGGTATCCTGATACTACTCAGAACCATGATACTGTCACTGGTATCATACTGTGGGTCCCAGTTTTGGTACCATGACAACACTATCTCACACACACACAGACGCTCTCTCTCTCTCTCTCTCTCTCTCTCTCTCTCTCTCTCTCTCTCTCTCTCTCTCTCTCTCTCTTCTAATGTGAGATAAAAGAACAACTGAATCCCATTTACCTTAGTAAAAAGGTATTCATTTGAATGGAACCATAAGCCAAAATTCTTTAAAGTTATTTTTTTGTTACTATGGAATGCACTTTTTCAGTTTCTTTTCGAAAATGTTTGAGATGCTTGCCAATAGTTTTTCATTGGAAAAAATAATTATCTCTTCATTTAAAGAGTCAAAACTGTTTTGGTTTTGTTCATAGTATTGATGTCATGATCTTAGGTATATATATAAATATACTGTATATGTGTGTGTGTTATCAGTTATCGGTATCTGCCTTTAGGAGCTGAAAGTTTTCGGTTATCGGTATCGGTTTAAAAGAAAAGTTATCGTGCATCCCTAAAATTATTATTATTATTTGGAAATTATTTGCGTTACAGGTGCTCCTTGGAAGAGAGGAAAGATAATTGAAAATATAAGAAATTTAACAAGATTATTTACACAATATATAGTAACCTAAATAGATAATACACAGAATATATACAGTCAAGGTGAAATGGGGTTATTGCACAAGTTAAATTATTGCACATGTTGACAGTGGGTGAAACAGTCGTTGTACAGTTTGATGGCCACAGGCAGAATGATTTCCTGTGGCGCTCAGTGGTACATTTAGGTGGTATGAGTCTCCCACTGAAAGTACTCTTGTGCCTGACCAGCACATGGTGGAGTGGGTGTGAGACATTGTCCAAGATAGTTCGTAGCTTAGACAGCATCCTCCTCTCTGACACCACCATCAGAGAGTCACACTCCGTTCCCATGACGTCACTGGCCTTGCGGATCAGTTTGTTAAGTCTGTTGGCGTCTGCCACCTTCAGCCTGCTGCCCCTTCACACAACAGCATAGAGGATAGTACTGGCCACCACAGACTCATAGAAGATCCTGAGCATAGTCCGGCAGATGTTGAAGGACCTCAGTCGCCTCAGAAAATAGAGACAGCTCTGGCACTTCCTGTAGAGAGCGTCAGTGTTCTTAGCCCAGTCCAGTTTATTGTCCATGTGTACCCCCAGGTACTTACAGCTCTGCACAATGTCCACACTGACCGTGCTCGTCATAAAACAAGTCAGATGTCTGATTTACCTCCCAGAGCTACACACTGTATTACTTCTTCACTTGGATCTATTCCACATGACGTAGCTGGCTTTTGGAGCAGCACGTGTGCTTGTTTGTCTTTTACAATGCTCCATGTTGGCTATAAATGCAACTAAAACCACCTGTTACTATTTAAACTGTTAACTGTCAACTTCTTTGACCTTGAACCACTCAGGCATCCTTGCTTCAAGTGCAGCCAGCTGCATGTCACCTGTAAGGGACTGGTTGTAATTAATGAGTCGGGGATGAGGTGGTGCAAAAAGGAGGAGGCATGTCAAATAATATTTTAAGCACCGGGAAGGAACTTTTCTACTTAGGGCAGGGGGAAGTCTAAATGGATGTATTTTGTATTTATTTTACTGGCAATTTTTAAGGAAAGCTTTCTCTGAGAGGCATGTTTTCTTTAAAAATCACCAAAATCACACCATTTATCACAGCAAGAAACTGTAAAAACTGTAAAAACAGAAATTATTGTGAGATTTTAAAATATCCCATTTCAAAAGCATCTTGTATTTTACATCATTTCACTTTTTTTTTTTTTCACAAAAATGAACAGGTTAGTTACCATTAATGGACGTCCGGCTAAGGAAAGCAAAACTTTTTGAAACTGACATCCCCTAAAATCAAAAGAAGGTCCCAGGAATGAGTCCTAAAACCTAAGAAATGAGTTAGCATTTTCACACTCTGGTTCCCTCATCTTGAAGTCAATGAGTTTTTGGTTAGATGTCTGAAGTAAGGTCTGTGGTTAACAAAGCAGCTGCTAACAAGTGGCTAAATGAGATCACAGAACATCATCATGCCGAACACGGCCTTACAGCCTTATTGGCGTGGGGACATGAAGTTAAGCAGCTGCAGTGTATTTCATTTATAGTATCGCGTTAGCTTGACCTCTGCCGATTGCACTGAGGCTTCAAAAATCATGACAGTGGTGTTCATTTGTGAAGCCTATCTTAAAAAACAAACATGTAAGTATCATAAATGTTTGCTTACCACAGAGCTTATTTTCTGCAATAATCCAAAATTCAAAGGAAAAATCCCTCAGCCTTTTTGACAAGTGTTAGATAAATATCATCGCTTACTCTGAACAACAAAACTAGGCCTGACTAATTCCTTTCCTCTGAAAACAAAAACACAAAGATAAGACCCAACATATTGATCTAAAAAAGAACACAGAGGTGGCTGCAACCAACCAGTGTTTCTGGGCCAAAGTTAACCATGTGAGTGACTCTACAGTTCCCTACAAGTCTCTTAGTATCCGGTGTGTGGCCTCTGATAACAATTTCGTACAACATTTATTTCGAAACTGCAACAATGGTTCTGGGAGGGTGAGGGGCCCTGCAGAGGCTGACTCAGGAAGCAGCAATGTGGTTAAAGGTTCCTGCATGACTGATGTGTATGAATATAAACTGTATGTAACATGTGCCATGTTTGTTGTTTAACAAGAAGAAATGTGGTTTCACTCTAAATGCACTCTGTGTCTCTCAGGAAATGGATACTCCCCGACTTGGCTTCTTCATCTTCATTGTGATAACTGCAACTGCATCTTCAGGTAGGACGTACATTATGATGAAGAACAGTGCATTAATGGATCTGTTCATGCAGCTGTATTCATATTAAGAAGTCGATCCTTTTTGACCCACACATGCAGTATATAGACACATAGTGCTGAAGCTGCACATGTAGCAGAAACTGCTCCATCTCATAAGCCCTAGGGGTGTAAATCACCAGCTTCATCACAATACAATATTATATCGATTTGTTTGGATGACGATACGATGTTTGCCGACATCACAAAGTCTGCAATCGATATGACGCGATATCATATGCCCATCTAACACAATCATTTACATCAGCTCACAAAAACAACTAGAATATGATTTGACCATTTTATTTCTGAGCTCTGTTTGTTGTTTAAGCGGAGGCGCGCTTGCCCAGAAATGGTGACACAGACGTGCTATGTGAATTTCAAAATAAATATATATCTTTAAGATGACGATATGGATCGATGTTTTAATTTTGCATCGATATAATCGGATCGTTAATCAATGAATCGATGTATCGATGTGGATCGATGTATCGATACACCCCTAATAAGCTCATCACCTACCAAACCTATTTGAAATATTCAGACGACACGTCCATTCTTGCACTTCTCTCTGACAATCTCTCTGCTCTGGGTTATCACAACACAGTCACACACTTCACTCAGTGGTGTATGGACAACCATCTTCACATCAACGTCAGTAAAACCAAAGAAATAATGATCACGCTTTGCAAAATCAATAGACCTGGACGCCACACGCCCACTCAACCAATACCTCATCCCATTACCCTCAGGGCGCAGGTACTGAACTCTCAAATTTAGGAAAGCTCGACTCGGGAAGAGCCTGATCCCAGCAGCCATAGCTGCACTGAACAGGAGATCCCGTTGACTCAAAGTGTCCACCTCTGTGAATGAACATGTAATGTTTTGTGATGTCTATGATATGTCTGTGCCTGTGATATCTGTGATCGATCTCTGTAAATGTACAGTTAGTGGAAACGAATTTCCCTCTGGGACGAATAAAGTCTAAGTCTAAGAAGGCCCTCTTTAATGTATATCCACCACTGTAGCATATACGGTATTAATGCAAGGTGGTGGCATGAATATACTGCATGCATGAAGGGAGCACTGAACAAAAGTCACCACATCTGAATCAGATGAGGCCAGAGTATAATGCTTACCCTGTCTATATCTGCATGTTAATGTCACAGTATCTGCTTAGTCTCCCTTTTAAATAATGTTTGGGATCTTTTATTTGTTAAATAACTGTTATTATAATGAATATTATAATGTTTTCCACAACATGACTTTGTGCTTTCAATGTTATCTTTGTCACCACAGCATCTTTAAAGACAACTGAGTCCCAGTGTATGGACCTAAACACGGATTCTTTCAGACTTTTTGAAGGGGAGGCATTTCGTTTTGTGCCCCATGAGCTCGGCAATAATGTCCCTGATGATGAGGTCACATGGTACAAAAATAACTCCCAAATCAATATCACCACTGATGAGAACCAGAACGTACATTACCACGGTGGAGCACTCTTTTTCTTAAACCTCTGCAGTGAAAACTCCGGCCTTTACATTGCCAGGTGAGAATACCTGTCTCTGTAAAACCACGTTTTGGCAACATTGAAATTCAATTTAATTTTTCTTATTTCTATCACTAAACGTAACATTAAGTTCATGTTACTCTCTGATCTTTTGGCAATGTAAAATATGTTCTTTCCACTGAGATGATCTGTTAATATGGACCCTGAGGTGAATCACAAAGGCTTATTGTTTCTTCTCTAGGCAAGAAGAGCCATCAGGACGGTGTTACAACTATTTTTTACAAGTTGACGTCTTCAAACGAAGCAATCCAATGGAAAAAAAATTCCTCTATGGATCCATTGAAGACTCTGCTGTGGCCAAACAGATCCCATGTCCAGATCCTGTCCACAACACATGTACCTCGTTGGCGGGAACTTTCTCCTGGAGCACGGTACCTGTGATTACAGTGACTCTGGTGTAAATAACAATGTTGTTTCTTCAGGTCCTAAACTCTAAATCTGGTAACATCACTGATAATTTATTGTTGTAACAGTCAACAGGGCTTATGTGCATAGAAATATGTGATGATGAAGCTGTCACCAATCTGTGGATAATTCAGCTGTGAGGAAAAACCTTCTGAACAATGAACACTGAAGAAATTCTAGTCAGGAGAGTTTTCAGCTGGTTGCAATCTGCAGTCCTAACCACTAAATGCCACTGGATTGCCCACACTTGAACTTTAAAAGACACATTGACTCAGCCAACCTCAATTCCCTGGGAAAAAGGTTCCAGAACGTGAGGGTCATAACTGCAAACGTTTCCTTTCCAACTGGTTCTCTGGAACAAACGCCAGAGGATCTCAAATTACATGCCTGTGCATATGGTACTAAGAGATCAGAGACATGGCAGGGAGAGATGCCACAAAAAGCCTTAAAAATAATCAGTGAAATCTGGGAGTCAGTGTGAAGAGGTTAGAACAGGAATGATGTGATCACATCTCTTGGTTCTGGTTAAAAGCCTGGCAGCGGAGGTCTGTACAATCTGCAGTCAGTGAATATGTTTTGGTTCAGGCGAGAAAAGAGGCTGCTGCAGTAATCCAGGCAGGATGACATTAAGGCATGTAAAATGGCCTCTGTGTCTTAAAAAGTTAAATAGATCATATTTTGAAATACTTCTATGTTGATAAAAACACGACAGTCAGGCACTAATTTTTTCAAATTATCTTTCTCCTCTTTATGAAGCAACCGCCCTTGCCCGAGCTGCAGACGTTCACTAGCCCTGAAGATCGTCAAAAAGCTGACCTGTGGATTAAGACGGATACTGACGCTCACAATGGCATCTACACTTGCACTTGTACCTGGAAACACAATAACAAGGAGTACAAATCGACTGCCTCCAGGGAGGTAAAGCATCAAGGTAAAAGTGCATTTTCAGGTTTTCATAAGCCTTTACCCGGGGTAGTGTGGTAAAGAATAGTACAGCAGATTAGCTTGTTAGTCATTTTACCTGTTAACTGATGATGTCATTTATGTTTCCTGACAGACTGTTAATGCCACTGGCTAATGCTAAGACTTTAAGCCTATACTTTCCAGAGAGCACACGAACATAATTCAGAAGGTGACAAGGTTTAAATAAATTAACATTCTCCCACCACACAAACAAAGGTATTTCTATCTGATTGTTCAAAATAGTGCCCTTATTATATATTATCATATGTATATTCAGAGACTCCCACTTAGCCACACATTTAGCCTTAGTGCTCTTCTCACAATAGGATTAAGTGTTAGCATAGAGCAGAGGATCTAAACTCTTGCTCCTCTTCAGTGTAATGCTTAAATAACTGTGGTGCCCTTATACAGGTAAGTCTAAGAATGATTATGTGACTCAGGCTTTATGCCTGAACTAATTTTCAAACATACCATGGGACCCATATAAGGTAAATGATCTATAGCATAGTCCAAAGTGCATGGCGCAAGTGCATTTAGGGTGCTCCGACTCTGCTTTTGCTAGTTAAACGGCACATGATCTGGGTGCAGTGTAAAGTGCAAAGGGGTTGTATTGAGTCCCTTATTTAATCATAGGTGTGTGTTGGGTGTAACATGAATTTAACCAACCAAAGTGTCACCTTCAGTTCCTTTTAAAAGCCAGGTGCACCTACACCTGCTCCACTGCTATTTACATGGTGAACTCGGCAAATTGGAGAAGCATGCACTTTTCTGCTGAGAGTAACGCAGTAAGAGCAGTTACGTCACTGCAGCAAATATCGAGGGACATTTAAGCAGCAACACTAAAAACTGTAGTTATAAACCTGACAGAGGAAACAGAACTAAACTTTAAGCTTCTGAAATCAATGAAGCTATGCTGCTCCTCATGTGCGAATGTGCACGGCTTCTCTCTTAATGGGGAGTCGAACAGCATCTCTGCTCTGATCTCTGCTATGTTCACATTTTACAGAAGGCAATTAATGATGTATTATTTCACCCACCATAACCCCATCTGTGTGTCCTTATGTGTGAAACAAGCAGTGTACATGTTGTGAACCCATATATTTAGGTGTTTAAACTATCTGGGCACAAGTACGTACACAACATGGGCGCTGGCCGTGAAAATGACAACTGTGTTGGTCTGAAACTAGCAATGACAGTTGCGTAGCTTTACACCAGGTGTAAGATAGGGCCCTAGTAATTGAACATTCATTTATAGTTTTCGACACCATCGGTTCAGTTTGGCACATGGGTTTAGCTGATGCTACCAAGCTAATATTGTCATATATATAAATATGTATAACATTTGTCATCAGTGACCACTCCAAAATTAATATCTGATTCAACTTCTTCTAATCTGTGCTCCAGAAATTAAAACTTACCAGCGATTTACAAACACACAAATATGGTCTGTAGCAGCAACATCAATTATTTTTAGAATATGCACCTTGCTCGAGAGGTTAATTCAATGTGTTTTTGTTTACATATGAACTGTTCTGGTTACAGCATTGTCTATTTCTCGCCTCAAATGTTTTCAGAAACATATTTTAGAGTAATGTTAAACAATGATATATATCAAATAAAATAAAATTAATTGAAGCTGGGACTAAAAATCATGTTTACGTTACCTTAGAACAAACCATTTAAGCCCTGTTTCCACAGAGCAGTATGGTACAGTTCAGCTTGGTGCGCCTTTTTTCTGTTTCCACTGTGAAAAGTTGTGGATGGTACCAATGGTACCGTTCCTTACCGTCCCCATGTTTGGTCCCCCCTCTGTTGGGGTACCTAGCACACAGATTTGGTACTAAAAGGTGGAGCTGTGAACACTGCAGTCTGATTGGTCAATAGTGGATGGTCACTGCTCAGGGCTGAGTTGTGTCTGGTTTTGAGGCTCATGTAACCACTGTTCATACTGTGGAGAGTTTTATTAGTAAACTGTAACTATAAAATGAAATCAATCAATCAATCAAACTTTATTTGTTTAGCACTTTTCATACATTAAAAATGCAGCACAAAGTGCTTCACAGAATAAAAACAAACAAAAATAATACATACATATTGAAAACCCGCCCCTCCCAACCCCACATATAAACACACACACACACAGAGACACACACACACACAGTCAATATAGTCAATAACATGGCTGGGCACTGAGGAACCAGGTGAGGAAAGAACCAGCTATGGGGAGCCATCCACACTGAGAGGCCCTACAGCCCACGGCCACAGTGAGCGCCGCCACAGAGACCACCCCGACCAGACAGACCGGGGTGGACTCCACACATGGTGTGGAGATTAGGAAAAATTAAAGAGTTAAAGATTAAAATAATATTAATAATAATAATAAATAAATTAATTAATTAATTAAGATTTAGAGACTAAAATGCATAAAGATTTAAAAATAAATCATTTAAAAGCATTAGAATGTAAAAAGAACATATAATAGAAGAATTAAAAGAGTAAAAGAAATCAGTTAAAAGCTAAATTAAAAAGGTGAGTCTTGAGCCTCCTTTTAAAAACATCAACAGTCTCTGCAGTCCTGATGTTCTCTGGCAGGCTGTTCCATGAGTGAGGGCCATAATGGCTGAATGCAGCCTCCCCGTGGGTTTTTGTTCTAACTCTTGGAACAATCAAAAGGCCGGTGCCGGAGGACCTCAGGATCCGTGAGGGTTGATATGGTAAAAGCAGGTCAGATAAATAAGAAGGCCCAAGACCGTTAAGACATTTAAAAACTAATAAAAGAACCTTAAAATTGATCCTGAAACACACAGTGAGCCAATGCAGTGATTTTAAAACTGGTGTAATGTGCTCCCACCCTCTGGTCCTCGTCAGCACTTGTGCGGCTGAGTTTTGGAGTAGCTGCAGGTTAGAGATGGTCTTTTTAGGAAGACCAGACAGCAGGGCATTACAGTAATCTAAATGACAAGAGATAAAAGCATGCATCAGCACCTCCGTGTTAGCCTGAGAGAGAAACGGGCAGACTCTGGCTATATTCTTAAGATGATAAAAACCTGTCTTTGTTACATTTTTGATGTGTGGAATAAAACTAAGCTCAGAGTCAAAAATGACGCCCAGGTTCTTCACACATTGTGAAGGTTTAAAATCTTGTAGTTTTGGTAAAAGTTTCTCTCTCTGGCCTTCAGGACCAATAATTAAAACCTCTGTTTTGTCCTGGTTGAGCTGTAGGAAATTCACTGCCATCCATGACTTGATATCTAAAATGCAGTTAAAAAGGGCATCACTTGGCCCTGTGTCATCAGGAGACACGGCGATGTACAGCTGTGTGTCATCTGCATAACTGTGGAAGCTGTTTTGCTGCCTCTCACAGCAGCTGGAGTCTGAGGAAAAATAACTTCATTCACTGGGCTGACTGCAGACAACTTTTAAGGTGGAACGTTAACTTGTAATGTTACTCAATGCATGAGGTGACGACGTAAATCCATCAACACACCTTAAATTTCACTGTGACAACTTTGATCATTCCTTAAGATTTTATATGACATACACTTTTAGTAATGAATGGATCTTCAAGCGTTTAAACATATTAATTTCAGCCGGATTATGTGAACTGCAGATATTCTAATCCTCACTCGGAGAAAAAAAAAAGCATTGCGGAGTGTCGTTCCTGTGGGCTACAGCAACATTAAACCCCTGAGCTTGCCTTAAAAGGACTAAATGCACAAACCCGCTATTTTTAAATATCCCATGGAGAGAGACTCTCACTGCAGCCTGTTCTATTTTGCTCTGAAAATGTCGGCAATGCAGGCTGATAAAGGAGGAAATACAGTGAGTGCTGGACGGAGCAGTGAGTGACAACAACCCCGCCCACATTTAAGAGCACTGTTTGTGATGGAAATGCTAAAGGGACTGAGGGTCTAGGTACCATGTCTGAAGCGTTACTTTTGGTTCCAAAGGTACCATACTGAAAGTGTTTAGTGGAAACGGGGCTTTATATCCTGATACGGGGCAGATCCTTTTCCACAGAGTCTGCCGTGTTTTTTACAGCAGCCCAGAAAAGACCAACCAAACACTGACTCTAGATAGGGCCATTCACGTTTCCGCATTGTTCACAGTAGTTCTTCTACATGCTTGGCACACAAGAAAAGTTTAATTTGGTTGCAATCTGCAACTTTTACGGCGCAATTCAAGATTCAAGACAACTTTCCCTTAAAGGGCAATTTCATTTGACAGCTCGCACAACAACACACACACACACACAACACATAGAACACAGAAAGAAAATTGACAGCTGTGTGCAAATTCTGTTAGTCGCCATGATGAATTACATAAAAATAGTCAATACCGGCACTGGATGATAAAATACATAAAGGTACACAGTACCCAATGCACAATACACACAATACAATTCATAAGGATGTGTTTAACAATCGGACAGCAGAGGGGATGAAAGACTTGGAAAAGCGATTACCCTTACAAGCAGGTTGGGTGTAACGACGCCCTGAAGGCAATAGTGAAAATTCACTTGCTAAAACATGCCCGGAAGAACTTAGAATGCTGTGTGACTTCCTCAGAACCTGTTGTTCCCATAGAGAACCTAGGTCTCGCTGCTTAAGTCCAATAATCTTGGAACAAATTTCACAACTCTGTTCAGGCTGTTCTTGTCCCTGAGTGACAGGTTGTTGAACCAACAGATAAAAGAATAAGTCAAAAGACTTTCAATGAAGGACTGATAAAAACGACAAAGAATCACTGGACTGACAGAAAAAGAATTTAACATTCGAAGGAGAAGAATCCTCTGCTGTCCACGTTTGACCAGTGCTTCAGTGTTAACATCCCATTTAAGCTGGTTGTCAAACACAGTGCCTAGATATTTGTAGGAGCTGACAATTTCAATCTTCTCTCCATCTATGACACTCTCAGTGAAGGCCTTCTTGTCACGTCTAAAATCAATCATCATTTCTTTAGTTGTGGATGCATTTAACTCTAAAAAGTTGTCCTTACACCAATCTACAAATGCAGGGAGAGCCACACCATGTTGTGTTGGGCACCCTGAAGTAGGGACAACAGCACAGTATCATCCAAAAACTGAACAAGAAAGCTGCTTTCACAAGATGATCTGCAGATGTCAGTGTATAAGATATAAAGAAGAGGTGACAATACGCACCCTTGTGGTGAACCAGTATTAGTTACAACAGTGTCAGACAAATGACCATGTTCACATGGTCAAGAAGTCTAAAATCAATAAAACAAGTTGATGGGGTAGTTTAAAATCAGAAATCAGTCTCTCGATTAAAAGACAAGGTTGCATGTGATTAAAAGCGGAGGAGAAATCTCCAAACAACAGTCTGGCATGGGCATTAGGTTTCTCCAGATGTTTGTAGAAGGTGTTAAGAATAAAAATCTTAGCGTCCTCAACACCCTTTCCAGCCTGGTAAGCAAACTGTAGAGGGTCGAGTTTACCCTCGATAGCTGGGAGAATCTCATTTTTAATTATTTTCTCAGGATTTTCATTATCAATGAAGTGAGGGCAATCACTGCAGTCTGTGCACTCAAGACAAGCTTGACGTTTGCTGATGCTTTCCTCTGTCCAGCACTTGACTGTCTTCACAGTGCGCTCCAAGCGTTTACATACGGGCTTATAGGAGGGCAAGAGGAAAATGCTGTGGTGGTAGGATGCTCCCAATGCAGGTCTGGGAACAGACTTATAAGCACCAGGCACAGTGCCATAACATAAGTCAATCATTGTATTCCTTTGTGTAGTGGCACATGTTACATATTGCTCATAAGTTTTTAATGATTTGTCCAACCGACAATGATTCAGATCTCAAAGAATGAATTTCGGAGTGTTAGGAGAGAGAGAGAGTCAAGCTTATGTGTCACATCCATAACCAGCTGCGTGGCTGCAGTAACATTGGCCCGTGGGTGAATATAAACAATTGTGAAAAAGAGTTGGGAAAACTCCCTTGGCAAATAATAGGGGCAAATAATAGGGGCGGAGGGAGATGGACAATAATTCGAGGTCGGTCATGCAGATCTTTTCCCGCACAACAACTGTATTGCAGTATCTCTCATTCACATAAAAGCAGACTCCTCCCCCCTTAGCCTTATTTGTGATAGAGGGACTTCTATCCATCCGAATGGGATAACCAAACCCACTGATGAATAATTCATCATCCCGGTCAGCTTCACCCAGCCATGGGTAAGAGCCAAAAGACACGTCTCCTTAAACTCCTGCTTGCATTTAGCGTAAGCCTCCAATTCGTCCATCTTATTTCGGATGGACTGCACATTGGAAAGCAGAACTGTTGGGAGAGGAGGGAGACTCCGTCTGACGCCAAGATCAACTTTCCTGATTCTCCGCTGGACACCTCCCCTTTTTCCCTCTTTTCCTGCGAATCCTTTTCAAAGGTTTCTTTCTGGACAGCTGATCACTGTCCAGTCCACGTAACAGTCAGGAAAAGATCTCAGGGTTGTTTGCAGAAGGTTGTAAAGACAGGAGAATCTCCCGGCTATAAGTGAATTGGTGCAGAGTGCAGCCGCCTCCATTGTCACTGTGTTGATCTCCACAAACCAGCCAGGAGAATAAAGTCCATAAAGCAGCACAAATCGTCACATAGTTCCTCAGGTTCATAACTGCAACTTACACACGTAGCTTTCCGAGAAATGAAAGTTGACGATCACGACACAGAAACAAAGAAATCAACAATAATAAGGCAAACATTTGCGAGCTGCCCCGAGTCGCACTTGACAGAGCGTCCTGGATGTCAGGATTCCCAGTTCCTAATGTCACTTAATCCTACAAACTAGACCTTTAATTCACAGCTAAAGGCTTTTCTGTTTGCAGCTGTGTTTCATTAAATTAAATGATTATATATTTCTTACACAGCACCGCATAGAACAGAAGTAACAGGAGGCAGTTCCCCAGAACCAGAGTTATGTTAGTTATGAGTAGTGAATTGCTTTTATGTGCCACTGACTGTAATGTATTTAAATTTAAATTCCTGTGCTGTTCATATCAGTGAAGACCAAAAGCTGAACTGCAAAATCCCACCTGTGAAGAAGGCGCAACAAGGGAAAATGTGGCATCACTCGGCACTGACTCATCATGGTCCTCTCACGTTTGCAGAACGTCTAGGATAAGAGATCACACCACCGCCTCACAATCTACCCCACCCTCACCCATCTAAATAAACATATACATACACTCCACACTGCTACTGCTACAAAGACGTAAACTGTACACCTCACTATATTGTTTAAGAAATACTCTGTGCATATTTTATGTTGCACTGGACACCACCAGGCATCCTGAACTTGTTGTGAAAAATCATTGCATATCTAAATGTACTGTAAAAACTCACTACACTACAACTTGCACTAGTGTTTTCTTAATATTATCATTTTTGGATCTTGCTAAGTGACTGTTCTGTGTATGCTCTCTAAGATTATGATGTACAGCAATGTTTACTGTAGCATGTATCTCTGTGCAAATAACAATAAATCTTTGAATCTTTGCACTTGTTGCTTCTTTAACTCTTTCTGCTTCCCTTCCCTAATTCTCTTTTTGCCAGGTTAAGTGTACGCTTAAATGCCAGAGGTAGAAATTATGAATCGCTTTGCTGATTCAAATCATTTTGTTAAGTTCAGTTCAAAGATTTGCAGCCACTGACTATATAGTTCATTCACCTTTTTTTTCCCCAAATCTATGTAGTTGCATTGCCTTTCAGCTGTCCGTCAGTGCATATAGCAGTTGGTGAGCGTGTAACTATTAATTCTGCTGTGCTGCAATATATCTCCATACGGCTCCAACGGTTCATAAAATATCCTGCAAAAATGCACACACAATGGTGCATATATCCCTACGAATTAGCACCCCACAAAGTTAACATGTAGTATGTAGTTAACATAAAGTTACAGAGATAACGGAGATAGGCAAAAAAAGGTACTGTGGTTAGGTTTAGGAAAAGAAGATAAAATTAGTCAATTCAAGTTTCAGACACCTCTCTCCTGGGAAAAGTCCTGTGTTTTTTGACCCATCAACTGTCACAACCTTCCTGCTTACATGACGACATCCTTCGTTACTCTGGTCAGGGCATTGGTCACATGATTGCAGCCTTCCTAAATACGTGGGTTATGCAGAGATTACCTGCACATGATTATGTAGGATGTGTATGGTTTGCTGCCATTTTGAGCAAATAGTAAGCAATTGTGCCATTGAGCAACAATAACCTGGTCTGAAGCAGTATTTTCCTGCTATTCAAAGGGCGCATCGTGTCAGATAGTAAGATGTGCTGACATAGACATGTTTAAAGCGTGTGTACACTCTGCTTGTTGCACACACAGGGACATGCAGATGTGTTGCGGGTGATTAAAAAAATACATTATTATTGTGAAAAATACAGAATGGAAAGAACTTTATTGATCCCCGAAGGGAAATTCAACTGTCCAGCAGCTCATAAAAGACAAAAAAAAATGACAACCACACTTTCCTTCAACACCACCACAGTGGTATTGACATAGACATAAAGGTTTAAACAAGCATAGACAGAAATTAAAAATCAAATTAAAAATTGCCCATTCCACACTCCAGTCCAGCTTTTGTTATCAGTTACATTCCTCAAAATGTGAACATAGCAGAGATCAGAGCAGAGCTGCAGAGCTGCTGTCCAAGTCCACATTAAGAGAGATGCTGTGCACATTTGCACATTTGCAGTCTATTTTCATTGATTGTTTCAGAGGCTAAAAGTTTAGTTCTGTTTCATCTGCCAAGTTTATAACTACGGTTTTTAAGTTTTGCTGCTTAAATGTCTGTCAGTATTTGCCGCAGTGACGTAACTGCTCTTACTGCGTTACTATCAGCAGAAACGTGCTTGCTTCTCCAATTTGCTGAGCTCACCATGTAAATAGCAGTGCACCAGGTGTAGGTGCACCTGGCTTTTAAAGGAAATAGAAGATGACACTTTGGTTGGTTAAATTCATTTTACAACCAAAACACACCTATGATTAATTAAGAGACTTGTGCAACCCCTTTGCCCCTTGCGCCTGACTTTGAACCCAGATCATATGCAGTTTAACTACTTAGAGTGGAATTGGAGACGCCGTAAATACATTTGTATAATGTACTTGAGAATATGTGATGCATGCAACATTTCTCAAATTACGGTTCATAAAATCTTTGTTGTGTCATAGGCTAAAGAGCTGGTACAATTTTTTGGGTATCAGGTGAAATAATAATTGATTAGAGTCATAGCACTGGAATGTAATTGTTGTCATGTGTCCTACAGGAAAGAATGAAAAGAAGCACTCATTGTATTTTGATTTTGCTTGCCTGCAGAGATAGAGGTCCACGTTCCGGTGGAGATCATTTCTCCAACCAACAAGGAGCAGCTTGCTGATGAAGGTTAGAAAACTTCACCTCATAACACCACAGTGCTGTCAGAACACTGCGAATACATTTCCTGTATTGACTAAGCCACTTACATCTCACCCACAAGTTTCTGATCATTGTTTAAGTGCTGTTTTTCAGTAAGACATCTGTGAATTGTTAGAATTGTGCCCAAACAATTCACACTTGGGTAACTACCAATAGAGATCCTTAAAGAGTCAGGAAGCATAATAATTTGTGGAGTTCCCACGCATTCCCACACTCATTTATTTGTGGCGACCACATCTGTTGCCACATATTGATTTTCTATGTTTAGAGCAGGACCATTTAGTTGGTCAGCTGTTGGAATATAAATATAAATTGTTCAGTTATTCATTGCACTGTTCTCGGAGCACAGAGCATACTCTCGGCACAGATGGAGCAGCAGAACATTGCTTTTACATGCCTCTGCAGCAGCTGCTCCTCTCTTCCATCGATCTGATCAGGTCCGATTGGATCAATGGATCAGTTATCAACCCTGTGACTCGAACTCCACAAAATGTTGCTGACGAAAAACAAAATCATGAAGAGCTCTGCCCGTCCTGCGTTTATGGACCCACATAAACCACCAACTTTAGAAAGGGAACAGAGAGTAAAACCAAAGGGACACACGAATTTGTACTTACTTTAACACTGAGAATGAGTTCCATTTTGTGCGTTGAATCATGAGTTGCGCCAAAAGTTATTTGATAGGTGTAAAAACATTGATTTGATGTGGTTGAGTTATGCAGTGTTGACCATGTCCATCACTCTGAAGATGTGGTCAGACACGAGGTGGGAAAGCAAAATCAAAAGCGTCGAGCCTTTGAGGTACCAGAGAGCTGCAGTAAGAGAGGCCTTGATTGACAACACACCAAAGATTCTATGCCACATTCAGCATTTCAGCAAACTGATACACTCTCCCACGATGCATGTGGACTAGGCACTCAATCTTTTGAAAAAGACCAAGCAAGGATTTAAACAGTACAGCTAGTGGCTTTGTGTCCGCACAGTTGGCAGCCAAGGACCTGTGTGAGGATATGAATGTGGAGGCTGTACTTCAACAAAAAAGACTGAGGGCCACAAAGCGCCGTTTCTCCTATGAGTCCTGCGATGAGCCTTTTAGCGATGCTCTGAAGAAGATGGAGGTCACTTTTTTCAGTGTTGTGGTTGATGCAGCCACCTCTTCCACTGAAGACAGATTTTCAACATTAGGAAATGTGGGAGAGAAATTTGGTGGTTTCAACTGATTTCCCAAACCTCTCTGACAAGGAGCTGGCTGAACAATGTGACTCTCTTGGAAACACATTGCAGTTCAAGGAGCACTGTGATTTGGACAGTCAAGAGCTTGTGCAGGAAATGAAGAACTTCCCTGACCTGCCCGCAGAGACCACCAGCCTCCTTGACTTGCTCCACTTCATGCATGAGAAGGATCTCTCAGACATCTTCCCCAACTTTTGGACTGCACACAGAATTGCACTTACTCTACCAGTCACTGTAGCTCAGGCAGAGCATGTTCCAGGAATGTCTCACTGGCCTTGGAATAATTAGCATTAATCATGCACTAGGGGAACAGATCTCTTACAGTGACATCATTGAGGACTTTGCAGCAAGGAAGGCCAGAGGGATGAGGTTTTAGCTGCAAGTGTGTTCTTCTGATCAGTGCAGTAGTATAAATTGTGTAAATAGTGTAAATATTCATCGTGTTTATTCTCCATTTTATTTGTATTATATTTTCTTTCTTGTTGTATCTGTGGTATGGATGTACCTTGTGCAGAATTGTGTGTATTTTCTTTTCCTTTCTTATCCTTTATATATTGTGTTTCCTGTTTTAAGTGCAAGAAGTGGAATCTCTTTAGTGTGCTTTTCATTTCTTTGATGAAGGACAATTTAGTTTTCCTCGTGATCTTGTGACAGTTATTTTGGATGTCCTTGTGGTTCTCAGTTTAGAGGCAAAATAATAAAGCCTTGTAGATGTTTCCTAATTCTGTGTTTTTGGGGTTTTTTGCGCCTAGGGCTAGAACTGCTACTGGTCTGTACCAAAATTTAATGTCAACCTTTCTGATAGCTGTTGAGACATTTCACTTAAAGGTTACTACAGTCAGCAGACTTCATCATCACCATATATTTCTCTAACAAATTTTGTGCCAATTCATTTAGAGGGCGTTGAGATCTTTCCGCTGGATAAGTGAAAACTTTGACCTGCTGGTGACACGACATGAACAGTCAGGGGATTACCAAACTGTATTCAGTCCAGTTTTTCTGATTTCTAATGTGATATTCAAACTTTCTTCCAGGCGCTGGGATGAAGCTGAACTGCTCAGTTTACTGTGGGATAAATGTGAAATCTCACTGCAAGTCCACGTGGGAGGTTAATGGAGTCTCTGTCCAGGAGCGTGATGGATACCGTCAAACCTCAAAAGTGTAAGCCTGATTTAAGCAGAACTGCACTGATTCAAGAAAAAATGACACAACAAAACAAGATGTGTGAAAACTGTCAGTACAAAATGTAACTGACCCTTTGCTGGACGCAGACTGGCCAATCATGACGTAGCATCCGGCCGGCTCACACCAGGGTCTGACAACAACACAGCTGTGCTCCATTGACTCTAATGCAGTCGTTTCAGATTTCCTTCATTTTCAGGCTGGTTTTGTGGATTTGGAGCTAAATGTTGTGCCTGGGGCACGTCGTGTATTAATGATACTCGTTATCTGGAGAGGTTGGAAAAAGACATACATTTCTTCCCTGTTCCAAAACCAAAATCAAACCCTGAAAAGTGTAGGGTTAGCTAGCTAGCTACTGAAGATATAGCCTACTGAATGTATACACATGCTGCTTCTGCTTTTTAATGATTATGACAGTGAAGCCAGACACGGTTCATCTGCACACACTGTGATGCCACACAGCTGGTTCAATATCAGCCAAGTTTCCCTTTATAGTCATTGTCTTCTGTGGCGATCAGCAGTGATGTGGTGGTTCATGTTTACACTGTGATCTGTAGCCTGTAGTTAGTAGCCTAACTATCTTTGGCCCCTTTTACACTGCCAGAGTTTCAGTGAATGTTGGGCCGTTTTGCTGGCCAGCTGCGAGCATTTACGCACACAGAGGCGGATTGGCGAGTTGATCCGAGGTGCCCAATTTTCCACCTCGTACGGTAATCATATTGGCGGAACCCTTTTAGTTTAAACAGACCGAGGCGGCCTTCCGCAACAGGAGGGGCTGTTGATGACTTGTGGGAGGAGCTGTTGATGATGCCGCACGTGCGAGCCACTGGCGGTGGATAAACAGGAAACAGCTGATAGCAGGAATTAGTGAGCAGCTAGTAGCAAGAGGGAAATGCAAACCTGACAGACACTGTAAAGATGAGCAACTGGGGAGACAAAGAATTGTGCGCCCTCCTTGTCCTCGCAAACAAAGAGGCCATTAACCGTCAGATGACAGGGACGGTGAAGAACGGGCCGACTTACCAGAGAATCGCCGAAGGACTGACCAGACGCAGCTTCCCTCCCACGTCACTGTTTACGTCACATTCTGAGCTACACGTTTTGTTACTTGCTCACGCCCCCCATTGCCCCGAAAAAGGCGCATTCTGTATAAACAAAATAAGTAGGTGGCATTTTGCTGCACTCCCCGATTTTGTTTTTATACTGCCAATGCTGAAAAAACACTGATTGGGCTTTCCTGCAAATTTTCACGATTCCTATCTAAAAAGGGCTAGTGTCTTTTTAACCTGTTGTTGCTGCTGAGTCAGTTTGACATCCTGGATATAATGGTTAACGGGTGGTTGGGTTTGGATGCTAAAAGCACTTGGTTATAATTAAGAAAAGATCATGCTGATTCTTCTCAGCTTGTTTGTCTCTTGTCCTAACTCTCCTCTCTTCCTTTCTTTTTAAAATAGTCACGCACTAATTCTTATAATTATCTTCTAAAGAAACTTTGGATATTGTTTTAGATCCCAGAGAACATAAAAGATTATGCCGATCTGTTCTGTACAACATCTATTGCACGTCTGTCCGTCCTGGAAGAGGGATCCCTCCTCAGTTGCTCTTCCTGAGGTTTCTACCGTTTTTTCCCCGTTAAAGGGTTTTTTTTGGGGAATTTTTCCTTATCCACTGTGAGGGTCCTAAGGACAGAGGGATGTCGTATGCTGTAAAGCCCTGTGAGGCAAATTGTGATTTGTGATATTGGGCTTTATAAATAAATTTGATTGATTGATTGATAAAAGAGCATATTTTACGCAGCGCAGCCCCAAACTGCATGTCGTTTTTGTTAAATTCATTATCAGAGATGCAACGTGGGAGACTTAACTTTATTATAAGTTAAATTTTCTCCTTGTACTGGGCAGTTGGTGAACCAGAATCTGGAGTTGGAGGTGGATGATCTTATCTGACTTGTTGTTAATGGTGGGTTATTGCTTAAATTAGACTGGCTTTATCGAGATATTTTGATAGTGTTTTAATCCCGCAACCGTTACAAACAATGCTGAGGCTTAGGGCCAACGCTATCTTTACCTGGGTGTCCATGAAGGCAGATGAGGAAGACGTGATGCTGCTCTGCAGGGCACTCGATTTCTGTGTGTCAAAGAGGGAGGGGCAGGGGCTTGTCTCAAATCAGTTGTCAGGCATACAACACACTTTGAATTAGGAATTCATGCCAGGGGCAAAATTAACTGAAATGTAAGAATTACTTAAAAAAAAACATGTCTTGCAAAAAGGGCACTTTTGTAGACAGAGCAAAAGAGCAGGTGCTAGAGCGCCACCTGGGGTCTCTCTGTGCACGTGCCTGGTTAAGACTCAGCCACAGCAGTCCATCCAGTATCTGTTGAAGGTTTACATTGATTGATATTGCTACCCTCAGAGCTGCTAGTAGCATGACTAAAAATGTTACTGTAGCTATGAAACAGTTTAAATCTGAATTTTGATTTTGTGCATTTCCTTCCTCTGTTTTCTGTGATCAATGGTACTGTTGGCTTCTGAAACAAACTGTGTGTTCTTTGGCAGAAACCTAGAGAGTCCCTCACAGACGACCATCTCCACTGCAACCCTGGTCATTGACAGAGTGTCTGCTGAAGATTTCAAGACTGAGTTTAAATGCATCGGCGTAGGCTTCTCTACAAATAACTTTACCATTATAACTCTGAAGCGGAGAGGTCAGTGACAGGATCATGGATGAGTATGAGTCTATCAGGCTTTGGCCACACAGACAATACTTGTTTATTGAAGTAATCCATTGTTTATTTCAGTGTTTTTATGAAATGTATTGACAAGATCAAAACATGTAGAATATTGCCCTCCATATCTTTAAGTGACCGACACACACACACACACACATCGTCTTTTCTTTTCTCTAATTTCCTGTTTATTTCCCAGAGTCAATAATTCCACTCGTCAGCGGAGGCGTGTGTGTGTTGCTTTTTGGTGTGTTTGCCGCCATGCTGGTCAAATGCTTCGCCATCGACCTCGCTCTCTTCTTCAGACGCTGCATCCCACTAAGCAGCTACAAAAAAGGTAAGAACTTTTCTAATCTGTGGAGGGTTTAGAAGTTGAAGGATTTTTAGGAGCGCTGTGGCAGGCTGCGTCCGAGGCTGAGACGATATGCCATCTCGTCCAGCTGCTTTGGTGTGAAACAACAGATTTTCAGAACATTGCAGAACTTTAAACTGCAAGGAAAGGTTCAACACAAGCTGACTGCCACACTTTACTCTCTTCTCACCCTGATGAATCCAGTTTGCACACTTTGTTCTCTCTTACAGAACAAGTAGAAATAAAACAACAGACATGTAACCAGTGATGAATTGCTTTTGGGACAACTGGACAGTGACACAACTTTTTCCCTGTATGTGTCAGCTACAGCTCCACACAAATGGAAATAGGAAAAATAGTTGAATTCAGTTCAAACACTAATGCTTTTTTAGCCTTGACCACCAATGTCTTTTTTTCCCCAAGAACCTTTTGCTTCACACTCATGTTTAGGCTCACAGAAAGCATAGCAGACAGGGTGTGGTGAGGCTGCATTGAGTCATAATGATCTCATCAGAAAGAAAAAAAGTACCTGAACAGACTAAACACTAGAACACTAAACCCCTGAACTTGCCTTGGAAGGACTAAATGCACAAACCAGCTATTGTCACCACTTAAAGAAGCACTACACAGGATTTTCCTAAAAAACAATCGTCATCCCTGTCAATCATCACGTGTGACCCACTCTCAGTGTGTGGTGATGTATTTTTCCACAGAGATTCTGCTCTCTGCCTGTATTTTCCTATTTTCTTCTTATAATCTGTGTTGCGGAACTGTATGGATGTGTACTTGCACAGCGCTCAGGTGAGGTCGAGGCTTGACAAAAAGGTAGTGACCAGGTGCCAGATCTTCAGCAGCAGGCATCCAAGGCATTCAGTTCGGTGCGCATTATTTCTGTTTCCACTGTGAAAATTTGTGGATGTGGAACCATTCTGTACTGTCCCCATTTTTGGTCAATAGATGGTCACTCTGCTCAGGGCTGAGTTGTGGCTGGTGCTGAAACTCATGTAACCTGTCAAGTATCAGTTCAAGGAGGATCCAAATGCAGACTGAGGGCCTATCCCAATACCCCCCCTTAGCCCTACACCATTGGCCCTACCCCTACATTTGCGCGTTCCTGCGAGGGGTAGTGGTGTCCCAATTCCTTTTTGCGTGTAGGGGTAGGGGGCATAACGAGGGGTAGTGGGTATGAAACTAGCCCTTCGGAGCGAGGGATGTCAGATGCTGAGATGCCAGCAAGGGATAGATGTCGCCATGGCTACCACCGAGCAAGAGACGGGGAAAAAAGTTCATACATAGCTAATATTACCGTTGTCAGGTTGCTTGTTAGCTAGCTAGCTCGCTCGCACTATCTGGCGTCTGTCATCTGTTCTGTTCTGCAAAATTGTTGAACTTTTCACATTACGATAACACGCCAGCTAGTATAACTGTGCTGCTTCGTAATGTTAGCTGGTTAGTGAAGTGTCTAAAGTCGGCGCCTGGAAGTGGGCCTGTAGGCTCCCGACCTTGAACCTCTTGTCTCTTGTCAGTTGTCCTCAGATGTCGATTTTGGTATCTTAAGTTCAGCTGGTAAATACTTAAAGAAACACTGGAAACAGGCAAAGTCCGATGCAATCAAGTTTATTGTGTCAACAGGCTTTAACACATACAACTTAGCGAGTCAGACTCCGGAGTGTGACTGAAAAACTGCTTTCCGAGCCCTGGCTTATATGCTGGTGGAGATTCAAATGAGTATCCACCTCTTTTGCTAATCCTTCCCACTCAAGTCCAGTTCTATTGGTGGAAAACTTTCCTTTGTGTCCAATTCTGATTGGGCCCGTTTTTAATGGTGTAATGCAGCCTGGAGTTTCCCAAATCTCCTACCCTTAGGTCTGGTTTCGCTTTCACTCTATTTTTAAAAAACATGTGAATTTTGGGGACTTTTTATACAGTCCTCAGTGCTCTCATTCATTCTTATACAAAGTGAACCTTTAGAATACAATATGTGAATGTGTGTGTGTATTACAACATTTGAGTATGTGTTTCATCATTAAACAAGACATAGTGTGTTATAGATGTGTTCTTTCAGTAGGTGCATACAACATGATTATATAGTCTGGTGCTATGAATACTTTGACATACAGTACAGGCCAAAAGTTTGGACACACCTTCTCATTCAATGCGTTTTCTTTATTTTCATGACTATTTACATTGTAGATTCTCACTGAAGGCATCAAAACTATGAATGAACACATGTGGAGTTATGTACTTAACAAAAAAAGGTGAAATAACTGAAAACATGTTTTATATTCTAGTTTCTTCAAAATAGCCACCCTTTGCTCTGATTACTGCTTTGCACACTCTTGGCATTCTCTCCATGAGCTTCAAGAGGTAGTCACCTGAAATGGTTT